TATTTGCAATAGCAAGCACAGCTGATATATACATATACATGAACCCAAGTCTGACTTTAGGCATAAACCTCAGTGAGTAGAATGAACATACTATAAAGTAGTACCTAGCTGGGGCTATATAGCTTACTGCAGTCATCAAATACGCATTTCATTTTGTATGCTGTAGTGAAATATAGTGAATTAATGTAAAAAAATAAATTTAAAGAAAAGGAAAAAAAAGAATGATATATATAGTGATTGAATATATAGAATAATAATAGTAATAATAAAATAAAATTTATTAAGAAAAAGATGTTATTAACAATATCAAAGGGGTGAAAAAGGGAAAAGTCGAGAGACAAGAGACCTCGCACTCCTATGCCTTGACACCATAGGCTCACCCATCTAGGGTCAGGGAAAATTGTCTCCAGTTGGCCATCTGACATAGTCGTTGCCCCAACCCATGAACAGTGCCTCTGACCAGGAGGATAAACAAACCCTTGGTTGGAGACTGCTGACTGATCCCTTGCCACCCCAGGCCACAGAACCTACCTGCAGCTCGCCATCCCCTTCACATTCACACAGATGCCTTCATTTTGGCAAGGGTTAGGGTCACATGGGTCTCTGAAGTACTGTGGCCAGTTCTGATCTTCCATGGGGCCTGCATTCTCCACTGACCGCTTCTGTCGGCTGATCGACTCCTGGCCCAGGCTATCAGGAGGGGCTTCCTCTAATACAGTCTTCCCAGAACCTTCTTTGGAGGTCTGCTCTTGGCCTTGGAGAATGAGGCCTTGAGGGACCATCCTTTCGTTTTTAGTGGGAACTTCAGTCTTGATAAGGTGGGTAATATCTTCAGGAAATATATAAAAGTGATAAAAGTGTCATGAGCAAGATCCAGGATGAATAATTTACTACAATTAGCTCCACAGCTGGACAAGACTTCCTGAATATCTCTGGACATCACACTTAGTGACACAGAAAAGTATTTTTGCATCCAATCGATTGTAATAATGCTAGCTATTTTTATTTAGTATAATCCAATCACATTTTTGTTTGTTGAGCTTACAAAAAGAAACATAAAATAAGCATGAAGACTAATCTAAACTAAATTGAAACTGGTGAACTCTCATATTTGATAAGTTATCAAAAAGATTATAATAACATTTTAGTTTCTCTCAAGGACATTTAAAGATGTGTCTTTGACCAATTGGGTAAAATGCAATTCTCTTACAACACATCTTCTTATTATTATTTTTACCTCATCTTTGAAAATATCCCCACATCCATGAGTTGCTTCAAGATCAGAGTAAAATGGGTAAAGCACCTTGAGCTTAGAAATATTTTTTAATAATTATTTCATTTTATTTATTTGTTATTATTTTTCAATTGACCAGAGAGAGAGAGAGAGAGGAAGAGAGAGAGAGGGAGAGGGAGAGTGAGAACGGAAGCCTCCAAGTCCAGGACTGGAACCATAGTCAGCCATGTGGGAGCCCAGCAGCTTAACCACCACGCCACTTGCCAGCCCCAAAGCTTAGAAATATTTACTCAGGAAGACAAGCAAAAGTACCTTCAAAGTCTACAAAAATGATGAGGTCATCATTCTTAAGGAAACTCCTCCTTTTCAGCATTTGGTGGGAGATGAGTCTACTCCAGCTCAGGCCGCTGCTTCGATAACATTGGCAGTCATCATCGTAGGACCCCTCAATGGATGGCCTGTTCCAGATAGTAGAGTAATTCATCCCTGTAAAGTCACAGGTAACATAAAAACATATTACCTTTTTATACCTCATTTTCCCATTTCTCTCTCTTTCTTATTTTATTTTTAAGTTTTTCTTTTCTTTTTTTTTTTTTTTTAGAGGATTTTGCTATAAGGCGTGTGTGCTCGCCAGACAGACAGCAGACAGAGAGAGACATAGAGACAGAAAGCGAGAAATCACCCCCCAGGGGGGATGGTCATGCCACAATCCCTTCTCCTCCATTCTCCTCTCGGGATCCTGGGCACACACGCACGCACACACGCCCGGCGTGAGTTTTAACTCACCGGGTCCGGGACGTGAACCGCAGTTGACTACATGGGAATCCAGCGACATAGCCATTACGCTAACTGCTGGTCCCAAGTTTATTTCTTTCATGAGAGCAAGAGACAGTAAGGGAGAGGGAGAGAAATAGAGAGATACGCATGATCCACCCCCCTCAACCACCCCCCCACCCCGTCTTCCCAGCCAGCCAGGATTATGGGTGCATCTTCAGCATGCACAAATTAACCAGGGAACTGAACTCCACCATCTTCCACATGAATCCAGCATCTCGTGAGCAGGATATTACTGCTATGCCACCAAGCTGGCCTTCCAACTCGTCTTTAATGAGTTATAGAGCTCTGTTAATCAGAAAATGAACTATGCTGGAGAAAGTCAGGTTATTTACTCTTTTCAGAAGAATTAAAATTCAGAATTGAGAGGTGGGAGGGGCAGAGAAGCACAGCTTTGAGTGGCCCATCATCCACTACTGAGCGACTTCTTAAAGGAAGAGGGAGGGACAGCTCCAGTTTCTTCCTTTTAAGGCTTAAGGCTTTTATTTTGAAAGAAAAAAAGTAACGTGACCATTTTATTATTGATATAGTGTGCCTCAAAAATAGTGTTCTCATTTCTTTATTTCATGGATTACTAATTTTCACTTAGTAGTCCGATGGTCCGATGTCACTATGTGGTTGATGTGTCCAAGGAGAAAATGTGAGATAAATGCTTTTCTTTCTTATACAGATGTGGACAACATTTGTTGGTCCTTCCAGGTTGAAAGGCAGTTCTTATTTGTACTCAAGCCACCTACCTGGAAATATCTCGAAACTGGAGGTAGTAAAGATCAGCGTGGAGGACATTCTATTCCTGACATCAGGCTCCTGGTCAAGTATGGTCATGATCAGTTGTCTGTTTACCACTGGCCACTCCAAGATAGCATCATTTTCTCCACTGCACAAGTGAAAATTAAGTCCCAAGTAGCCAGAGAAACTGGAGTTTATCCTGCCATGTGGGTATAAGGTCAACCCGAAGCCATATCCCTCTGAATTATAGAATCGAGGGCTGTGCAATTGGTCCCCTTTACTTGTGTTCTGAAGGACTTCAGAGAAATTTCGTATTGTCCAAACCCCTGTGGGGCAGGGGGTTTCTGTCAGAGTAATGTCATCCAGGTAAATTCCCCCACTTGAGTTTTGAGGGTCACCTTTTGTGCCCTGGAAAAGGTAGCGAAATTTCCTTTCTTCTTTGAGCGTCACATGGGCAATTTTCCAGTTATGGTCTGAATCTCCTGAGGACAGAGAATAGAGTAAATGACAACTGTAGACAGCATTTAATGAGCACTTACTCTAAGGCTGGCACTTGTGCAAGTGCTTTACATAAATTGTCTCATTTAATCTTCACAGTGACTCCATAAACCAGGAACTATTCCAAACTAAGTAACTTTTTCATAGTCAATGTCTAATAAAGGGAAATAGTTAAATAAAGAAACATACTATGATTTATTTTAAAATTCATATTTGAATATTAATCATGAATTTGCTTTCCACTGTCATTTAATTCCATAGGTTCCAGGTTTCTTCCTGAGTTTGCAGGTTCAATGCAGTTCAAGCTCTAATGTTAGCTCTGAAGACTCAATATTTTGAGCCATATAAGTTTGAGCTATATAAGTTTGAGCCATATAAGCCACTTTACAAGCTAAAACTCAAAGAATGATAATTCCATATGGTCTGACCCATGACTTGTTGACAGAGAGTTGGATGGAAGACTAGACTCAAGAGTGGTAAAAACTTTCAGGATAAACTGGATATCTCCTATCACAAATTGACCTCCTCCCTAACATTGATTTATTTTTTTCTCTTCCTCATATTATTACACCAAATAGGGAATCTGAATAGTTCAAAGTTACTATTATCCAAATGCCCAAATTTTACTGAGGATCATATCTATCTGCTTTTTTCCCCTGAGACTGAACTAGAAAGGGGAGTTTTGAATAAAGACCTGAATAAGAGGGTGAGAATACTGGTCTAGAATGTGGGACCTTGAGCTAAACAGCACGAAAAGCCAAACAAGGGTTTGGGGATATTGGGGGAAAAAATTACCAGGTCAGAGCAAGTCAGAATTCTCTAATGATATGTCCCCACTTTGATATTTCACCCAACATGTATCCTGGCATTGGGCTTAAAGAGGAGAAGAAAAATGCTACACATAGGAATCATGCTGGCTACAATGCACTCATGCAGATGAGTGTTTAAAAAAAAGGACTTGGAAAAGGACTTTGAGAATGTCTTTTCACCCCTCCCTGTCTGTGGCTTCCAATCAGAAATCTACTTATGGAGCTATACTTTCTTCCAAACCGAAGAGTCCTCTTAACCCTGTTTTCTTAGGTCATTCTCTCTAAGGACAATGTCAAGGGACAGGTCTAGCAATGTTCTGTTTCCTGGGGCCTGAGTAGTTGTGTTGGAGAAAGGTAGAGAGACCACACCTGTGACACTTCAAATCTATATAACTGTCATCTCCTGGAGACAGGCCTGCAGTCAAGTGGGAGACACGTGGACGTGAAATGTAATGAGTGCCAGAAAGTCTGGACTAGGGACCCAGATACAAGATTCAGACCATTTACCCAGTTCTATGATAGATCTTTAACTGCCTTGTTTTTCTTAATATGGGTTGTTAGAATGAGGCTGAAATACAGGAATATGATACTGGGAGGGCGATCTCAGAGGCTTTGCCAGATGCGCAGACTCGTCTGTGAAATCACTAAAGGTTTCATTTATTTGTTTCTATAGGGTAAGTTTGATAGATCACAGGCTTTCTGAAAAGAGAATAAGCATCACTTGCTTACTAACTGCCTTGTTTTTCTTAATATGGGTTGTTAGAATGAGGCTGAAATACAGGAATATGATACTGGGAGGGCGATCTCAGAGGCTTTGCCAGATGCGCAGACTCGTCTGTGAAATCACTAAAGGTTTCATTTATTTGTTTCTATAGGGTAAGTTAGTAAGGATAGTAAGATTGAGAAAAATTTCATCCCTGTTAGTTCAAAATTGTCATCTGTAAGGGAGTCAGGGCCTCAGGAGAATCATAAATGTGTGTGTGTGTGTGTACACACATATTTGTGTGTAAACATTTCACATATAGGTTTATGTATGAGCTTTATATATATAATGTGTTATATACACAGATATATGCATGGGGTGACTTCAAAAAGTTCATGGAAAATACTGAGAAAACTATGCATGGGATTCTATATTGTTTTGGCATCACAATTATACTTGCATTTTGTTTTCCTACAAACCTTTTGAAGTCCCCTTAAATAGACACATTTTTGTTAAAAAACATATTGATCAAAAGTTAAACACTATTCAAAAATGTATGTAAGCATCTAAAGTCAAGTACCACATAAACACTAAGTGATATTCAACTAACTGCAGAAAAATTTTATGGACAAAACAGTATTAGACTTATAACTACTTTAAAAATCCATTCACATGGTGTGAAACTTACAAGACACACCTTTGACTTCACTGGAATTCCAACTCCAGCAGTGTAAGGAATCAAATTAAGCATGGAATGGTTTTGATTTTATTCTTACAAGGATAACACTTTCAGTTTTAGATGAAAGTGAGTGGTGCCATCAATATTACTGAAACTCTAACTCATATTCTCAGTCAGTATTTACAATTCTTGGTAAAATAACAAAGTCTCAACTGAAGTGAATCTAGTTGTAATCCTTCCACTATGCCAGCTATGACAAATTTCAGGCAAAAAAGTGAACCTCTCAAAACCATTATCTGTAGAGTTTTCAGGTAACCCACACAGTGGATTGGATAAAGATGATTTGGGCACCTGTTCTCATGAGTGACCTCTTAGGAAGCTTTCTCTCTTCAAGAGCAGCAGCTTCTTCTAGAAGTATACAAAAAACATTTCTTTTCTCTGGACTCATTTAGTTGAGAAATTCTTTGCTGAATGGAAAAATAGGAAAAACTCACCTTTCTTTTCCTGGTTATAAATGAATTGGCACCATAATAAAAGAATGTAAATACTTCACTTTATAATCTTGAATCTTGATTTGTGGCCAGATCACCCTCAAATCCAACTACCTACCTGAATATTTTAAGGTTTTAAAGCTGATCGACTTACAGAAATACAAAAAAATAACACTTAAGAACATATAAATTATTACAGTGAAATCAATAAATACAAATGGCTTATTTCCCACCAACTTTATAAGTAGACTTCAAGCTGCTTCAGCATGCTAAATAATGGCATCATGTAGCCTTATGAATCAGATGCAAAACTACTTATCAACAGTTTAACTATTCTTTCTCCAGCAGCATCAATTTCTGCAGCCCTTTTACCTTCCACTCTCCATCCCTGATTCATCCATTTTCTCTGTCCCAGACCCAACTTTCTTCAAAGTGCTGAATCATATTCATATATTCTGATTGACCATTGACAAAAGAATATTTCAGCTTCATCTCAATGCTGCTTCTAACTTGTAAATGGTTAAAACAGTCACAGAGTGAATGAAACATGACAATATGCCAGATAATATGAACCAGATATGCTAGGTTCTTAGAAAAGGAGGAGGAAAAATGAAGGAAAAGGAGAAGGAGAGAGAGGAAAAAGAGAAAGAGGATGAAAAAGAGTGGGAGAAAGGGTAGGAGAAGGAAGGGAGAGAAGGGAGGAAAAGACAAAAAGGATGGGAAGGGGAAGGAAGAGAAGGTGCATATGCCCAGAGTTTGAGCCAAAACATTGCTTGTGTTAATGCCCTAAGTACCTTGAAAGGTCTTCAGCTTGACCAACTTGCGAACATTGCCTGTGCTGTCATCCCTCCTGACCCAGACAACGAGTCTATCAGAAGAGCTTCCTGTCATTTTATAGAAAAACTGCAGGCACTGCTGTTTCCTCTTTGGGTAAAGGATCCGAGACTCCAGTAGTGCTGCCTCTTCTTCTGACCCCATGCTGGTGTTGAAGTACATGAAGTAACCGGCACCTGTCGAGAGATTACACCAACATCCCATCTCTAGCTTCCCACACAACAGGTGTTGTCCACTCAGACAAGTGGAAATAGTGAACAACAGTGGTTACCCAAGCAACAAAAAGGAGATTGTCAGCACATAGTCTCCATCTCAATGGACATGGTCGCTGGGTAAGGCTGCCGCTCTGCATAGTCTCTTGATTGCCTTTATTTCCAAGATGGTGAAATGTACACCTTGGCCTTAACGAAACACATGCTTCAAATAAAGCCTAATGGAATTCGGTATCTGCAAGGTGCATTCTATTTTTCTAACTAATTATTGTTTAAATTGGAGATTCATTACAAGGAAAAAGAGTTGGCCTCCTAGTTGTATATGAAGCTGTGAGATTTAAAGACTTAGGACTTAGATTTGAAATATGATGTTTTTCTATTCAAAAATGTGTCATGACTTTTCCAATAACCCAATATTAGGGACTAATTGAAGATTTCTTCTGAACACGAAGAAAAGCTTTAGAAGAATACACACACACAAAAAAAAGATGAAAAGTGTCCATATTAATGCCCAAGTTGGGATCTGCCTAGCTCAAACATCTCAAAACTCTCCCCTAATAGAAAGCAGGTAGCTAAAGAAACACGTCATTTGGAAAACTAGCACACTTTCCAAGTCAAGCACAATGAAAAACTCTTGAAGGTAAAGAGATCCTTTAATCTATATTCCACTATTCAATCCTCATCAAAAATGTTCCAAGCTAAACATCTCATAGGATAAAAATAAAATGGATATATGGTGCAATGTGAGATATCCTGGCAATACCTCTGAAACTCTCTGCTTCATCCCTGCCTCACACAAGGAATGCTTGTTGTTCATATCAGCATCAGACATTGATGGTAAAGTAAGCCTTCCACTAAGCCTAAAAAACAACTACATGGCTTTATTATTACATCAAGGGAAATTATATTTTTCTGTATGTTCTTCCCAGCATTTCAATTTATTAGCCTGAGACTTCTGCATTATGAATTAGTGGATATTAGAGTTTAAAAACTTTTTAAATTTATATTTATTATTGTTATTTTTTAATTTGACCAGAGAGGACAGACGGGGGCAGGGAGGAGAGTGAGAAAGCAAGCTGCCAGGTCTGGGACTCTAACCGTGGTCAGTCAGCACCATGCCACCTGTAAGCCCACGAAATAATTTTAAAAGGAACTCACAAAGCAAGGAAATTCTTCCCAGGTGTACTAGGAAGCATGAAGTGAAAGCTAAATAACTCAAGCCTGGGACTTAAGAGGCCTGAATTCTTGCCTCAGTTCTGCCACTAACTAGAAGCTTATTCATTTTTCTGGGTTTCAAATGGGGATTGGGTTCTGTCTCAAGAGGTCTTTCAAGCTCTTCAAGTCTATTCATCTACCTTAACATGAAAGAGCTTTCTAGCAGAGAAACATGGTCCCATTATTTGTCTCCTATAGAAGTAAAACGGCTTGTCAAGTTAATCTGAAAAGATTCCCAGGTATTTCTTCTGGGATGTTATCCTTTCTTTTCTTACTAGGAGGCCAGAACATTCTTCCAGCACATACCTCTTATGTGAAGATCCCTTTTCTGTTTCACTAAAACATGTATACTAGCCTAGCAACAACTCCACAGGCGAAGGTGGATTAGAGACTATGATGACAATTAAGAGACAACTTCAGATTTGGATCACCCTTTGTACACTTGAGAAGATACGTTTGATATTTTGATGTGTGATAGAGACTTACACCCTCTTCCAAAGAAAGAGAAAGAGTGGCAATGACTTATGACCTCTGACTTCTTCTCTCTGGGTGGTGTGGCATCTAGTAACAGTCCAGTTCCTTTCTGCACAAAAACTCTGATCAACTCCCTCCTATACAGTCATGGGCTAATGAATTCTACAATAGTCCAGTCCTTCAAAAATCTATTATAACCTATAACCCCACTTGCTTCTAGATAATGTTGAAATGATTTCAATGATAGGCACCAAATTAAAGGATGCAAAAAATTAATGGACCTTCTGGAGAGAAAAAGAAGATGGAAAAATTGGGAAATGAAACTGCTGGTCTTCAGAAGAGGTCTTTGCATGTGTTCCTTTTTTCCATCCTCAATGTGACATATTAATTTATTAATGTCCAGAGAGGTTTACAAAAGCAGAGACTGTCAAAAAAAATGAAGGACACACACAACAACTTCCTGTGTCATAATTAGTAAGTGGTGGAGCCATATTTCAAACCCAGGTGTGTCTGAGGTTATTATTTTAATATCACACAAATCAAGTGTAGGCACTGTCTGAAGCTGCAGTGCCCAATGGCAACTACCAAGAAAAGGTGAAGTGGGGCCAGCAGGTGGTATAGTGGTTAAGACACTGGACTCCCATTTGGCCAACTGTGGTTTGAGTCCTGGACCCACTGACTTAAAACATGCCAGACACATGTGCGTGCACGTCCAAAATCCTAAGAGAAGAATGGAGGAGAAAGAATTGTGGTGTAGCCATTCCCCAGGGGGGCGGGGGTGATGATTTCTCATTTTCTGTTTCTCTGTCTCTTTGATGAGCACGTGTGCCCTATAGCAAAAATCTCTCTCAATAAATAAATAAATAAATATATAAATAAATAAAAGGTGAAGTATTGCATAGTCATTTTTATGTTGATTGTTAAAATGCTAATATTTTGAATGTTAGGTTAAATAAAATATAACACAAAATTAATTTTACCTACTTCCTTTTACTTTTTTATACGGCTATTAACAAATTTTATATTCCTTGCATGACTCACATATTTCTGTTGGAGGATACTTCTCTAGAGATGTTACCCTTATTTCCAAAGTCATATCTAATCAACCATATGTGCGTATCAGCTTTGTCTTTGCTTAAATGTATCTTTTCTTTTTGTATGCTCAGAGCCTGGATTTATTTTTATTGAGTCAATAATAGAGATAACAGAAATGCTCTTTGTCCTTGTCCAGATTCTAAAGTTTGATAAATAACGTTCTGATTGAGACAAAGCTTGCTGTCTTTCATTGCCTATCTGAACTTGGTGAACCTCCCAATCAGTTCACTTTCCACTGTCACTGACCTGTGCACTGTCCCAGCAAGGTGTGATCCAGTTGTCCAACCTGAACACTGTCCTCGTGGACCCAGTCAGCGTCGTCTCTGGTGCTCTGAATCATCCCACAGATATTTGCCTTCTCAAAATTACAGTGGTCCAAAAGGGTGTGGGTGGTGGCTGAAAATGACATATTTGCTATCTGGTTAAAAATATAGGACATGTCATTCCAAATATCTAACATCTTAACCCTAAGACCTCATTGTTCAAGTACAATAGGATCACAAGCATTTCATTTTCTTGACTTTTCATCAAATGTAAATTGTGTTGTCACCTGTTAGGTTTGAGAACTTGCCAACACAAACATAGCCCTTTCAGCCTCACAGGATCAATATTTTAAAACTCTATCATCATTCTTAGCTATGTAAATGCCAACCAAGAACAAGGAACCTATAAAACAGGGTTTTGTACTTAACCTTCTTTACATATTTGTTGCACAAAATTAAAGATTGTGTCTCACAAGCCTAGTGGGGTTATCCTAGAAAACACCCCACTTCAGAGGATTAGGTTACTCTGGAAATAACTCGCCTGGGTAAAGAATTTTGTGGGATACAAAGTACTTTGAAGCCCATCACCTATCCTGACCTTAATATAATAATGTGCCCTTCAAAAAAAAAAAGCTAAAATTGGACAATAACAGCTCTTTATATCTGTCTAATACTTCCGCTTTACAAAACACGTGCACGTAACTGATTTTCAAAACCACCCTGTGTGGGGAGCCAGCAGTTGGCATAATGGCTATGTCGCTGGACTCCCATGTAGTCGACTGAGGTTCGTGTCCCGGACCTGGTGGCTTGGAACTCATGCCGGGCATGTGTGCGTGCTTGGAACTCACGCTGGGCGCATGTACATGCATGCCCAAGATCCCGAGAGGAGAGTGAAGGAGAAGGAATTGCGGCATGACCGTCCCCTCTGGGGGGTGATTTCTTGCTTTCTGTTTCTCTGTCTCTGTCTGGCGAGTGCACGCGCCCTATAGCGAAATTCTCTCCAAAAAAAACCCACCCTGTGTGGTAGATGCTATAATTTTTTGTGGTCTAGAGATAGACCAACTAAGTTTATGTGCTTTGCCCATGTTCCCTGAACGAAAAATTACAGAAGTATAAAGGAGATGTAAAAGAAACCTCTAAAGCTAAGGCATCTCTGTTGAGGCTAGTTCATCCAGTCCTCAGACCCAGAGGTACTCACTGCAATTGTACATTCGGTTCAGCCGCTCCAAATCAATGGCACTGAAATCCAGGCGCTGCCCAATGATGGAGTTAAACTCAGGGATCTTGGCCGTGATGGTAGGGACACTGTCATTCTTATTAAATGAGAAAGGTGCATAGTGCATCAAAGACTCGTAATCATAGGGTGTGTTGAGGTCCGTGATGAAGTCGTCATCATAGGTATTAAAGTTGTGTTCATAACCTGGCAGGGAGAGGATCCACAGTCTTGCTCAGTCATATTATTTCCCCTTTGACTGCATAATCAGAGACCCAAAAAGGAAAATTATCATGATTTAAGTATTTTTATATTAATGATCTCAGTGCAGATTTATCATTCCTAATATGAATATCTGAAATCCAAAAATGTTCTAAAGTCTGAAACTTTTTGAATGCCAACATAGTGCCACAGGTAGAAAATTTCAAACCTGATCTCATGTGACAGGTAACAGTCAAAACTCTGCAAAACAAATATGCATTCGAGTAATGTATATAAGGTGTATATGAACTGTAAATGGATGTCCTGAACTTGAAAATTTGAAAACATAGGTAAGTTCCCAGTTCCATTCCCAAGATGTCTTGGTGGATATAGATATAGATATAGATATAGATATAGATATAGATATAGATAGATATAGACATAAATATAGACATAGATATAGAAATATAGATATAGATATTCCAAAATAATAAGGAACATCTGAAACATGAAATATTTCTGTTTCCAAGTATGTCAGATAAGGGATATTAACCTGTGCACATTATAATTAATATTAATTAATTAATAGATAGCATTATATTAAAATATAATAACATGTAATAAATTATAAATTGCAATAAATACAAAATGCCTTTATAATATATAAGTACATATTATAAATTATTAAATATTTGTAGTTATTTAAGTCAAAATTGTGCTTTATGAATATACATATGTAAATACATATATGAATATATATGTATGTGTATATATATATATATTATTGTGTGGGGACTTCAAAAAATTCATGGGAAATGGAATTATGAGTTTTTTGTTTGTAAAATTTTTGAAGTCCATGTAGTTTTTTAAAATTTAATTTTAACTTTATTTAATTATTCTTTAAAATTTGACCAGAGAGGTACAGAGAGAGAGAGAAAGTGAGAAAGCAAACCACCAGGTCTGGGACTCGAACCACGGCCAGTCATGTAGTAGTCCAGTGCCCTCAAACGCCATGCCATCTGCCAGCCCCCATGTAGTTTTTTTAAAAAATAATATTCATTTTTCACAAACTTTTCAAAGACCTTTCATATATAAGTCTTTCAGAAGGTAAAGCTTAAAAATAAAAAAAAAAGCAAAGCTGAGGTAGGTTTTTCAAATGGCAACTGAAGGATTTTTCTTCTTTTAAGTTTTTGCCATACATGCACTCATCAGAGAGAGACAGAGAGTGACAGAGAGAGGAAAAGTGAGAAATCACCCCTCGGGGGGATGACCACACAGCAATCCTTCTCCCCCATTCTCCTCCTGGGATTTTGGGTATGCACGCACATGCACCTGGCATGACTTTTGAGCTGCCAGGTCTGGCATTTAAACCATGGTCAACTTGGTTGGAGTCCAGTACCTTAACCACCATGCCTATCTACTTACCCCAAGAAAAGGAATTTTAAGTTCAAGAAAATAGTCAGGATTGACGGTGTTCAATGTACAGCTTCCTAATCACCAAGAATCTCAGTCACCAAAGTCTTCCCAGAGCCCTTGCTATCACTTCATGGATTAAGAAGCAGAAGTCTAAGAAGCAGAGGGAAAGATAAAGATTTGGCAAGACAGAAACATCCTGTCAATCAAGGCTCACATCTTTCTCTTCCAGAAATAGCTTCAAGTAGAGAAAAATAAGGAGAAAATTTATATTTTGGTCAAGTCAGGAAAGGTAAATATTTTTTCTGATATAATGCAAGTGAGAAAAGATGTGTTACATTGTGAAAGGCCAAACTAAAAAACTGTTCAGATATTCTTTGAGCTGACTAGCCATAGCAAGTTACTGTTTCTTACTGCAATCATGGAAAGGTCCATGGATTTTTAATTTCCTTCCTGTAGAGTGACAGGAATGAAAATCAAATGAGAATATTCCTGACTTCCAATCCTAACTTTCCATTCTCACGTTCTTCTCTTTTCTAGCTCCCCATCCAGTTGTTTTTAACAATTAGAGAGAAGAAAACAGAACACCTTTCAAAGACATCATTTATGGGCATGTGCAGAAATGTTGAAGTTTTGCACAATTTAGCATGTGCTAAATGTATCTCCAGGAAACTAGCAGATGGTATAATGGTTACATCACTGGACTCCCACGTAGTCAACTGTGGTTTGAGTCCTAGATCCAGTGACTTAAAACTCATGCCAAGTGCATGCGAGTGTGTGCCCAAGATCCAGAGAGGAGAATGAAGGAGAAGGGATTGTGGCATGGCCATCCTCCCAGACAGTAATTTCTTGTTTCTGACTCTCTGTCTCTCCAGCAAGCACATGCTCCCTATAGCAAAAATCTCTGTTCAAAAATAAAAATAAAATAAAAATAAAAGTACCTTCAAATGCTTCTCGAAAACCAGTGAACCCCACTGTTTTAACTATACAGTTGGATACTGATGTCTCATTCTCCCAACTGAAAAGGATGTTAAGAGGATTAGCCAAGAGTATCAAAGCATTTTCAAAGGTGGAACAGGGTTAAGAGAAATAAGTGACCCAAATGGGAAGAGGGAAAGTAACTCCCTCTACAGCACTTGCTCCTAAGCCGTCAATGACAGTGATAGAATTGTAAAGAGATGAAGGTGATGATGGTAAGGGCCAGGGCTTGATTCTGAGCTCTCCTGGTGATTCTCAGTGGCATCTGAACTTTCAATTCACTGGATGTGTTCTATTTAACTTTTCATTAAAAGTTAAGGTTAGAATAGACTATTCTTTATTATTCAAAGATTCTTATCAGAATGGTTTATAAATAAATATTTTTCATAATATTTTAAAATGCATTCAACTTGGGCCAGCAAGATGGTTGGCATGACTGTTTCCCATATGGTAGACTAGGAAGTTTGGTCCAGGACCCTGCAGCTTATGGAATATGCCAGGTGTTTGCACATGTGTCCAAAATCCCGAAAGGAGAAGGAGAAGGGATTGTGGATAGATCATTGTTCATGGGAGTTGCTCTCTCGCTCGCTCTCTTGCTCTCTCTCATCTCTCTCCAGTGTGCACATGCATCATCTGGCAAATTCTTTTTTAAAAAAATATTGATCACATTTTTCTTGTGCCAACTGTCTCCTGGCAGCTGTGCTAGGGCGGTAGTTGCCCCTGACACTGAATAGGACAGGCCTGGTCCTGCCTTCAGGGAGCTCCAACTGAGAGCCTGGAAGAGGGCACAGTCTTGGAAACCAGGGATCAGTTGGCAACTTTTTTATTGTAAAACATCAGATACAAAATATTTGGGCTTTGCTTTTGTCTCAGCTACTCATCTTGGCTATCATAACACAAAAGCAGTCACAGGTGTATCAACAGTCATGACTATTTCCATAAAGCTTTATTAATAAGAGCATGGATATAGCCCATGGACTATAGTTTGCAGATTGCTACTAGACCTCAGAAGTTGAGTTTTTCCCTTTGCAGAATGGAGCAAACTTGGAAAAGGCAATTCTGACTCAAGAAATGGGTACAAACTTGGAGGAATAACTACACTGCCAGTTCGCTGACTTCTTAGATTAAATAATGTGACTGACATCAGCAGGAGATGAGATGCAATAAAAGTCATAAAACACCCTGAGAAATACTGCTCTTGTTTACGATCTTACTGGATTTTATGTCTCATTCGAGAACACTTCACCAGTGACTGCAGGCAATTTAGATAAAACTGGCGTGCAATGATGAAACTAGAGATCGGAGATGAGCAGAGATGTACGGAGCAACCCATACTCCACCTGGAGCTGAGCAAGTCTGCAAACCACCCTGGCAAATGTGCTGGCTCACTCTTATACCTGGGACTTTGTTTGGCTCAATCCATCCTAAAAATACAAAGCATTAGGGCTGACAGGTGGCATTGTGGACTGGACACTAGACTCCCACATGGCAGATCATGGTTCGAGTCCTGGACCTGGCAGCTTGCTTTATCACTTTCCCTCTCTCTTTCTCACTTTTTTCCCCTCTATGGTCAAATTAAAATAAATAAATAAATAAATAAATAAAAGTTTAATAAAATAATTCTTTAAATTTTTTTTTGAAAAGTACAAAGCATTGTCTTCTCCAAGACTTATAAATGATAATGTGTTTCTGCTTTCTCATGAACTATTCAGCGAAGCTGAGTGAACGCACTGGAAGGTAAGAAATTCAGGTCTGTAGGCAAATATAGACAAATAGTAATAGCACCCTAATTTTCACGATTAGAGATTCAGTCTTTAGACTTACGGCCCCATCCTTTTACCTTCCACACAAACTCAGTTTTAATTAAATACTCTGTGGGAGATAAATACAAGTCTGATATGTTATTTCACCTCTGGGTGAATATGCTCCCAACCTTCCATAGGTTGGACTGGGAGGCAAAGAATACTGCTTGACTCGGAGGTTCAGTGGTAGGATGGATGAGAGTGTGCACGTGGGTTCAGACTTAGAGACCTATTATGCTTTTACAAATCACATTTTCTCTCCCTCTCCACCACTCTCTATTCACATTCTTACCAGAACATGAGGAACTGGGATGAGCTCAGGTTGAGAACTCTCACAGGTGATTTTGGTATAATTAGCCATCCCTGTAACTACCTCACATGACAATCATTGACCACCTTACTCAAGCATGAGCTCATTCTGGCAGAAATCTTTTGAAGGATTCATTTTTAGATTTAGAGCTTGACCAGTTCTTCAAAGCCTCTATAAGTTAAATGGCTATGGATATAATGCAATATAGAAACCCATATGTGTAAATGGGATCTGAATACCTACAGATAATCTACACAAGGCAGTTATTTTCTTTCTTTTTTTTTGAGAATTATTTTTCATTAAATTATACATTCATTAATTTAGTTTTTTTTTTCTTTAAATTAACCAGAAAGAGACACACAGAGAGAGGGGGGGGGAGTAAGAAAGCAAGTCACCAGGTCCAGGACTCGAACTATAATTGGTCATGTGGGAGAGTCCAGCACCTTAACCACCATGCCACCTGCTGGTCCCAACATTTATTTATTTATTTTATTATTATTATTTGTTTTTTCTTTCTTTTTTTGGAGAGGTTTTTTCACTATAGGGCGCATGCGCTCGCCAAACAGAGAGAGACATAGAGACAGAAAGCAAGAAATCACCCCCCCAGGGGGGATGGTCACGCCTCAATCCCTTCTCCTCTCGGGATCTTGGGCATGCACGCACACACACCCGGTGTGAGTTTTAAGCCACCGGGTCCGGACGCGAACCGCGGTTGACTACGTGGGAGTCCAGTGACATAGCCATTACGCTAACTGCTGATTCCCATTATTATTTGTTTTTTGTGAAAACCTTGTGTGGTGATAGTCAAAGCATTTCTAAGACATTCTAAGCCATTTCTCAAAATAACACTTTCCTGAACTAATTTATACTTAAAAAAGAGGTACCTTCAGAAACATGACACTGCCTTTTTTCAACACATTAGGAAATTGTTCAATAAATAACATTGTAGTGTACTCAAAAACACTCTTCTAGTTATCTCAAAAAAAAAAAAAAGTTAAGCAAAGCAGCATTCAAGGAAATCTAACCAAAGTAAAGAACATTGAAATTGAGCCAGTAGGTGGCATGGAGGTTAAGGCAGCTGGATCCCACATGGCTGATTGTGTGGTTCAAGTCCTAGACTTGGTGGCTTTAAAATCATACTGGGAGTATGTGCATGCATGTCCTAAATCCTAAGAAGACAATGGAGGAAAAGGGATTGTAGCATGGCCTTCCCCACTGGGGAGTGATATTTTATTTTTTCTCTCTCCCTCTCACTGTCTCTCTCTGGCTAGTACATGTGCCTTATAGCAAAAACTAAAACAAACAAACAAACAAAAGAAAAACAAACGAGAACATAGGAATTATTAGAAAAACTTAACAGTGGGGACCAGCAAGTGGCGTGGTGGTTAAAGGTGCTAGACACTCCCACATGGCCGACCACGGTTCAAGTCACAGACCTGGTAGCTTGCTTTCTCACTTTCCCTCCCTTTTCCTCTCTGTCTCTCTTTCTCTGGTCAAATTAAAATAAATGGATGAATAAATTAAATTAAATGGATGAATAAATTAAATTTAAAAAAAGAAAAGAAAAACTTAACAGTGTAATAACATGTAAGATAAAAATGTGTTTATCCTTTGCATAATTTGGGATGGGAGCAGAAGAGGAGAGATGCTCAGAAATGAGGAAGAGGAGACCATTAAATTTTGATTAACCAGAGCTCACATAACTAGTCAGAATAACTAGTCAGAATGAACACAATTGGGATTGCAATTTCCTATTAAAGGATGCATTTTTGTTGATGTTTTGTTTTTAAATACCTGTTATTGATTAGGAAAAAAACACCGCCCCCCCAAAAAACAAAAAAAACCACAAGGTTTCTGGACTATGTTGTCCCTGGGTCATTGAATAGAGGTGACTGTATATGGGGTGATTTCTTACTTTCTGTCTCTCTGTCTCTCCAGTGAGTACATGCGCTCTATAGCAAAAATATCCCAAGCAAAACAAAGCAAAACACTTCCAATTAATCCACACACTGAATTAATCAATATACACTATTTTCTGGCACCCTTATACGAGACCTGTTATGTTCAGATCAGCACAGGCATAAGAGAAGCCAACAAATCATTACCTCTTCATGGTCTCTGTTCCCACTGAAGAGGGTGAAGGTCCTCTCCACACAGACTAGGTCTGGTTACCCTGGGGCTTGTCTCAGCAAGTAATAAAGATCACAGCAATTGCTACCCAGCCATGGTGGATTCATACTCACCTGGAATAATTTCATCCCACCAGATTTTGACATAGTCATCTCGGTCTGTCCTTGATTGTTCATGATAGAATCCCAACGCGTGCAGGATCTCATGTTCAATGATGGCCTTGTAGTCACACCCCAGACCAATAGAAAGGTTCTGACCTACATGCTGGTCACCAACTTCAGACCAGCACCTTTAAAGAAGAAGACAAGAAAAACTGCTCCTAGAGAATTCTTTAGTGGCTATAATTTATAGAGTTCAGAACACAAATTAGAAATAAATTATGATTTTTTTTAAAGTATCAACAGCATTCTCATATGCTGATGGGTAAAAGTTAAGAGAACACTTACATAAGAAACCCTATAGATGGAATATTATGCAGACTTTAAAAGTGGTGATTTAGTATAAAAGTGGTTCTTACTCAGAGGAAAATTAATCCTAATAATGTATTAAAGTTAAAAAATGTAAATATTTGCATTTTTCCTCATCTCTGTAATCTCATAGGGTATTCCAAATCATAATACTATTATTAAGCCTTTTAACAAAAATACGTTGTCTATGTGGTAACTGTGATTGACTTTTTTCTTTTATACTTTAATAGATTTCAAATTTTCCTATAATGAGAAGGCAAAACTTTTATGATCTAAACAAGGAACCTTGGGCCAATCCTGTAGCCAAACAATTAAAGGAGCCAGATCCCACATGGTCATTTGCTTTTAAAATCCCAGCTCCAGTGGTTTAAAATACACATCAGGCATGTGTGCATGTGTGCTCCAAACCCCAGTGGGATGGAGGAATTAAGGAAAAGGGATTGCAGCATGTCCATGCACCTTTGGGGGGTGCCTTCTCTTCTCTCTCTCTCTCCCTCTTTCTCAAACACACACGCCCTTGGCAATTTAAAAATTAAAAAAGAAAAAGAACCTTATTTAAAAAGCAAGTTAATCAAGTCCAAGTTTTTGGACATAGGCTAATCTACAGCATGATGATAGTGCACTGAAGGCTGCCTAACCTACTTCTCCCCTGCAAAGAACCATAATTTCCTTCAGAAGCTAGTGGACTTGAGGACTTCTGGGAGATTTTCTAAATTCCTTGTGATAGAGCCTCTTGCTCTCTTTTTCCTATTTTTTTCCATAAATCCATTTTTCATATCTATTAGTAAGCCCAAAGTTCCTTTTCTTTTCTTACAAATAGTCTCCTTTCCGTTGTGAATTGAGGATCTGTATTTTCACCAAGGCTGAGCAAAACAAGATATTTGCCAATACTTCTAAATGCTAGCCACAGACTGCAAGTTCCTTAGTGACCGTAACATTCCTCCTCCTACCTGCCATTGTTCTCCCCAAGACTGCTAATATCATATACCTCCAAGTGCTAGAGGATTTCGTTTCTACTCAAAGATGGGTCTTATTTATTTTCTAATAATTGTATCAAGGTAGAATTTATGTGCCATGGAATTCACCAGTTTTAAGTGTAAAATGATTTTGAACAAATTTACTGAGTTGTGTGAATTTAGCCGTGATCAGCTTCCCTGACAGTAGCATTTCATTTACAAATCAGAGGTTACAATGCAAAATAATCACACAAAACTCAGAGAATGCATTTATTTGTTTGTTTACATCACTCCCCCCGACAGAAAATTGCAAGTTGCAAAAATATCATAAATTCTAGCACACTGTGAACCTTTGCCCTTATCTTTCTGAAAGAGACCAGGTGGCTTCCAACTTCAGAGGACCAATGCCTTCAAAGACCTGGGGGCACTTTGGGTCAGTCCCTTCCCTTAGTCCCCTTTCTCCATGTTCCCTTCCTTTAACTTAAAGGATTAGAGATATTTCCAGGCCACAGACACTAAGAGTCCCACAAATTCAGCTTTTATAAAGAATGTCTCTCAGGCCAGCCTCTTAGCCTAGTGACTAAGGGAGCCAGATCCCACACAGCCCATCACAATTCAAATCCCAGTCCCCAGTGGCTTATTAAATGCTAGTCACATGTGAACCCATGCCCAAAATCCTAATGGGCTGGAGAACTGGAGAAGGGACTGTGGTATGATCATGCCCCATCAAAGGACATTATCTTTCTCTTCCTCTTTCTGTCTTTCTCTCATCTGCACACAAGCTTTCTGGTAATTAAAGGCAGGAGAGAGCTGATCTACCTTTTAATCAGGTACTGGGGACTGAAAATAAATCAAAAGAATTTCATTGAGAAAAAGAACTTTTGAAAACAGATCTTATTAGCTTTGTATTACTTTAAAGAATTTTTTCTCGGGACCAGCAGTTAGCATAATGGCTATGTCTCTGGACTCCAAAGTAGTTGCCCGTGGTTCGAGTCCTGAATCTGGTGGTTTAAAACTCATGCTGGGCGCATGTGGGTGCATACCCAAGATCCTAAGAGGAGAATGGAGGAGAAGGGATTGCGGCATGGTCATCCCCCCTAGGGGGTGATTTCGCTTTCTGTCTCTCTGTCTCTCTCTGTCTTTCTGGTGAGCACACGCACCCTATAGCAAAAACCTCTCTGAAAACAAAAAAGAAAAAAATTATTTTTCCCTGAAATGGTCAATAAAAAATGAAAGGTTTTGATCCTTTCTTGAAGCTCAGTGCTATTTCCTCAGTCATATTCCTAACCTTAGTGAAAGATGTTAGCATTTGCCAGTCACTTAGATTTTTCAAATTTAACAAAATCTCAAAGACTCTTTTCCTAATCCCTCATATAAACTAATCTAATAAGTTTACATTTGGATAAGGCTCTCTTAACATACATCTGGCATCCATTCTAGTTTCTTTATTTCAACTCTCTTCCTTAGTATAGGTTCTTTTCATTTCTTTCCTGGAAGATTAGAACATCATTTAATGCCATTAATCTTGACTTATTTCAACCCTTATCTACTGTTAATGCACTGATCTTTCTAAAACGGAAAACTAAGTACATAATTAATCTTGAATAAAACAGTGCGTTCCCTCACACCTGGATCTCTATTATCGAGCACCCAGTCACCTGGCTCATCTTTCTGCCCTTTTCACGTAAATCTTCAGACATACTGAACCTAATGCAGTCTCTACCAAGCCAGATTTGTGTTCGTGTTCTCTGCCTTCTCTTCTCCTTCTCCCTTCTATCTCCCCTCTTTTCTTTTTCCTTCCTCCTTCACCTCTCTTCCTCTCTTCCTGCTCTCCCCCTGCATTTGCACTTGCCTCTCCTTTGCCTCTGTGTCCTTCTCCCTTCCTCATCTCTCTAACACTCATCTCAGCTCTCTCTGATGCTTCACGGCAGCCCACATCTTGTCAGAGGGTCCCACATCTCTCTGGTTATAGCCTGCAGCTCTCACCAAAACGTATTCAAACTATTCGCTTCTCCAACACCCTTCCCTGCAATCCTTGCGAGATGTGACACTGCATCTCATATTTTTTGTGTGTGCCTACAGACTAGCAAACTTTCTGGCATGTAGGTGTTCATAAAATATTCTTTTTTAAATAGAAGCACAAGCTAAGAAAGTAACTCAGGCAAGTTAGGTATTTAACCTGTATCTATCTATTTAGTCATCAGCAGTTTGGGTTGTTTATTGCTATCTTCACATACTTTTTTTTCTTAAGAAGCTAAACTGTGTGCTAACTTCTCATTTCTCCTCTATTGTCCATCTAAGGTCAGAACTAGAAAAATAAGCTAGATAAAACCTGGAAGTGATGGGAAATGTGGCATGAGGAAATACTTCTTTCTAGGCAGGGCTTGAAGACACAAAGTCGCTGCAGATGGTGGCTTTGCTTCGCAACCTCAATAAAGCCTAGGTTGGTTTACACAGTCACCACTGGAGAAAAGAGCTTCTGTTTTAATATGTCATTCACTTCTTAGAAATAGATCACTATAAAGAACTAATTTATGTATAGGAGTTTCCAAAGAGGTCCAGCCAACAGAGTAGTAAATTTAGAACAATGTCATTAATAGAGTGCACTTTATGCTTTAATAAATCTGACTCTTAAAAATGTATTGTAATTTGGGGTCCACAGGTGGTATGGTGGTTAGGGGCACTGAACTCCCACATGGCTGACTGTGGTTCGAGTCCTTGATCTGGTGGCTTCCTTTCTCATTTTCTCTCTCTCTCTCTCTCTCTCTCTCTCTCTGCTCAAATTAAAATAAATAAATAAAGTTAAATCAAATAATTCTTTTAAAAATGTACTGTAATTTAAAACATGACCTCTACCTAGGAAAAGAATTGAAATAAATCTTTCTAAGGCACAGACACATCTAAATAATTCATTCTCTACATAGCATGGTAGAAATATTATATAATTTAAAAATTTACAATGAGGGAACCAGCAGTTAGAGTAATGGTTATGTCGCTGGACTCTCACGTTGTCGACTGCGGTTCGCATCCTAGACCCGGTGGCTTAAAACTCACGCACGGCACGTGTGCATGCATGTGCATGCATGGTGTGCCATCCCCCCAGGGGGTGATTTCTCGCTTTCTGTCTCTCTATCTCTGTCTGTCTGGCGAGCTCACGTGCCCTATAGCAAAAAAACCTCTCAAAAAAAAATCACAATGAAAGTTTTGATTTTCTTTTTAGTTTCTTCCCAATTTCTCCTTTTAGCCTTTGAAAAAGATGGTTTAATTTTTGTAAACCAAAGGATGCATGGTTTTCACACTGTAAAATTTTATACTAACCCATCAAACTGCTGAAATATAATATATGAACTCTCTCCTTCATATGGCTTGAAATCCACACAGGACTTGAGACGGAACATTTCAAAGGCATAGAGAATGGCTCCTTTGGCATTCAGTTCTGGAGAAATAAGTAAAAATATCAATGCACATTATTTAGCTCTTGGATAATATATACAACTTTTATTTTAGAGAAAATCATGCTACCACATGAAATCCATAGAGGCTTATTATAGATTTTTCTTTTAGTCATAAACAGATTCCTTGGAAACCAAAACTGCAAAATTAATTGTGGACATAAACATTAAGTGTATACTTGAAATTCACAATGCAAATGTGACTACAAAACACGTATATGTTTCAGGGACTGTATGAAACCATAAAAGAACTCCCCCATTTCTCCCTTTCACTTTCCCCCATTGAAACAGAGACATAGAAGGCATTGCTTCAAGAGTGTAACATGACAGACCAGAAAACAGAGGTGGCTTGCAAGTTGCTGTGGTTTCGTATGCATAGATACAGCACCTTGGAGAGAAGCAGAGCAGTGCTCTTTACTCGAGTCTAAGATGATATCCCTTCTGGCAGACCTTAGAGAGATTCATAGGTTCTTAAAGCATAAAAAGCACATATGGTGTTTTACCCTGCTTTCTTGCAAGATCTGTGTGGAAATAGCAAGTCTAGATAGCCAGCACTGCTCACAGCCTTAGAAAAAATTTCTGTACCCCCACTTGATTCCAAAGCAACAGAAACCTAATGGAATGGAAGGGGAAGGAACAATAAATATGGACTAATAACCTGTGTGGACCAATGACCAAATATGGAATGCCTTTCCTTTTAGGAAACATTCATACATCTCGGCATGGTGTAAGACAAGGATAGGAAGGGAAGATAATATATCTCCAAAGGAATTGAGATTATATTTTTACTTTTTATGTGTTTTTTGTCACACATGAATTCACTGAAGCTTGGGATCTACGTTAAAAATGTGATAACATGGGACCAGTAAATGGCGTAATGGTTTTGTCATTGTAGTCCCACATGGTCAAGCACGGTTCGAGACCTGGGCCTGTTGGTTTAAGTTGGCATGGTGGTTAAGGCGCTGGACACTCCCACATGGCCGATCATGATTCGAGCCCCAGACCAGGTGGCTTGCTCTCTCACTTTAACTCTCTCTCTTTCTGCCTCTCACTCTCTCTGGTTAAATTAAAATTTAAAAAAGGATGAATAAATAAAATTAAATAATTCTTTAAAAAAAAAAAAAAAAAAACCAAGGCGGGGTCAGTGGCAGGTATGCCCAAAAAACC